AACAGAACAGAATGAAACACAAAAGGGAATAAACTAAATAGTACTTAATCAAGGAACTGAGAATGCCGGGAGATAAAGGACAAATATAAATAATACAACCAATGATTAAAAGAAGCAAAACCCAAACAGTCCAAAGCCCATGGCACCATGAAGGTCCAGGATGTACCCTGCTTCTCACCCTGTGGCAGCTGGGATAGGACCACATCACCACTACCCTGAACTGGATAAGTAGGGACAAAATAGATAGATGGATGGTAACTAATAGTATTCGTCCATTTTTATTCAACTTCACTGATTCTGTAGTTTAAGTCTACCTGCTACACAATGATCTCATAATCTGCTGAAACCCTTTAGAAATTGCATTATTGCCATTTCATGCATTATATGTATATATCACATGTCTGTCTGAAAACAAAAATTAAATATAAATAAATATTTTAATTTTAACTTCATAGGCCTGACACAATTAGAAAAAAAAACTCCTTTCTTCATCTTGGAATTGCACAGCCAGTGTCCTCAGCCGTTTACAACAAAGTCAAGCCGCTGCCGTGTAATCAGAACGGGAACTCGAGCTGTCCCTCACCAGGTCGCTGTGGCCCCACTCATTATCTTATCACCTATTGTAACCCACTGTAATTCCCCTGCTCATGATTGATGATGTCGCTGTCTGATTACACCAAGACAAAAAACCCCTAAGATCACCTTTCACTCCAGTGGCCAACTCCAAGAGTTCCATGAGGTCTGCTGGAAGGATGATGGACCAGGAGCTGTGCAGCCATGTTGAGCTTCTGTCATGTACACATCAGGTTTTTATAAACTCTGAACAAGAATCAGCACTCTGCTGTAAAACAGTTCATGACATTCTTTTACCGACGTAATTAAAGACTATTACCTAATGGACAAAAGTCGCACTGACTTGGGGTGAAAGTAATTACATTTTGGTTAGACTGTCTCATGTTTGATTGATATGGATGGTAATTTTCTAGATGTACCTCACAAGACACTGATCAGTGTGCTTCTGATAAGGAGCACCGTGTGGTGCTGCACAGAATGAAGTAAGAAAGCCTCGGTATAAAACATTTAGACTGAAGGCTTCTCTGCTACAGATCATGTCCCTGGCCTGCCTCGAACAAATCAGATAGGTAACCTGTGCTCTTTTTAAAAGAGACAGTGAGCCTCATCTCTCCATGCGGCAGGTGGAGACAGATGCCTCATTATCTATACCACAGGGGACAAAACAAGCCTGGGACCTGACGCCCCCCCCCCCCACTGGCATTTAGTTTCCAGTGCGCTGACACAAGGAAACCCTGGACCATCGCCGGGCAGCGCTCATCTCTGACCTCAGTGAGTGTAGGTCGCTCGCAGAGTCACATTAAACTTTCAGAGGACCCAAAGGTCCCCATCAGGAGTGTTAACAGCAGCATTGTCCCAGGTCCCCCTGACTCAAATGGCCAAGTGTAACAAGGCACCCCCTCCAGTGGTCAGGACTGCATCACCCCCCCCCCGGCCTGGGTCCGTATACAGTGACACCCTTCAGCTCCATCTGCAGCTCCTTTGACTCACATAAAGCGGCAGAGACAGGAGATTCAAGAGCATGCTATGTTACTTATAACATGTATGTAACTTTGTAATTTTAACATGTTGTCGCCTCTTGGCCAGGACTCCCTTGAAAAAGAGGTTTTTAATCTCAATGGGACTTTTCCTGGTAAAATAAAGGTTAATAATAATAATGCTCCTTGTGTTTTACGAGCTGCACTGACACTCTACACCTATGGAAGACATTTGATGGCTTGGACTCCAGCGAGTAATGAGTGAGGGCAGGTGTGGGATCAGCCTGAAAAGATAGAATTCACACTGAGGCAGCTGATCACATTAAAGGTGAGGTTCACCTGAGCAGGGTGCCAACTAAAACTTATTAAACACATCCTTCCTATCTTCTCGCTTTGGCTTTTGGGGGTTTTACTTTAATCATCATTTAAAAGGTGTTTTCTAAACACCCTTGTAAGTAAATGCAGTTTTAATCTAGATTTTTTATTTAAAACACCTGCTCCAGATTTTATGACATCACTCCAACATGCAGCAGCTTGACAGCCAGAGGAAGCAGACTACTGTCCACACTGTGATGAAGGTTTTATTTATCCCTCTCAGAGTATGGAAATTTTTTATGTGAGCTATTTTTTTGATACAAATACTTTTTTTTTAATTCACTTTTTATTTAACTCCAGACTTATTCACTCATCCAAATCACTCCAGACTGATCTGAGCTGCACAGAATAGCCAACTCTGGCAAAGGCAGTCCTCACAAATGTCACTCAATCCACAGATGCACGTATTCGGTTTTCTTTGCTCTTTCTTCATGAAATGTTGAATAAAAGAAATGTATTTGGAACATGTCTGCAACACTATGCAAAAATTATTTTTGCATGCACTTTACATGAATGTTTGATTAAAGTTAATGATTTTAATAATAAAAGATAGACAATACCATTATGAAAACACCAATTCAGAAACTTCCTGATTAAATTTGATTAAAATTTTTTTACAAATCCCCATTGAAGTATATTTCTTCTCCATAATATGCATATTTCCTCTACCATCACACAGCTTATATAAACAACATGAAGGAAGAGAAAAAAATCTCTTCCTTCATGTAGTTATTATGAACTGTGTGAAGGACGAAGCCTGGACTGATTTTGATTTTAAGATTATATTTCAACATTTTTTTTTTTAACCAGATTTCTGATTTCGTTTTAAAGTTCAGGCCAAAGTAGATTTGTTCTTCGTGTTTCTTTAAGCATGGACAAAGAATTCACTTTAATTCAGTATATTAATATAACGCCACACTAACAGCTGTCTCAAGGTTCTTTATATTGCAGAGTAAAGATCTTACATTGTTAGACAGAAACCCTCCAAATCAGAGCAAGCCCTTGGCAGCAGTGGGACAGAAAAACTCCCTTTCAACAGGAAGAAACCTCCAGCAAAACCACGCTCAAGGAGGGTGTGATGGGTTGGAAGGATTTGGTTTTTCCTTTGGAATATCCAGGAACTCATATCGGCCTGTGTCATATTATTGAATTATCCTCAAGAAAGGCTGTTCTGACCTTTTGTTGAGTGTTTTTATCACCAGGTGCAGAGATTTGGCTATGGCCAGTTTTTATTTTTATACATTTGTGGTTTGTTTACTCTCTGAATTAAGTTCTCTCAGCATTTGCTTAAATGATTTCTTAAATTTTCTTTTATCTTAAGTCGAAACGTCAGGACAAGGAAGCCTATAAGAATACATGTAGTAAAAACTACATTTCTACCGGTACGCCGTGTGGAAGACCTCTCTGCCGCTAGCTCAGTGATGCGAGCTCTGAACATTTCTACAATTGCTTCATCTACAGCAGCCTGTCATTGAGCCAAGCTGTTATAGGCATTTCGACTTCCTTTTAAACACCTTCTTGCTAATTTCTTTGATCTTCATTAAGGCAGAGGACAGCTTTCAAGCACTTTCAGCCCCTCCATCAACTGCTTCATCAGACACTCTGTGTGGGTAGTCCATTCCTGCTAGCTCCAGTACTTGATACCATGAACAGGCTGACATATGCTGGAAATTTAATCTTAATCTTTAATCCTAATCTTTATTGTGACTCTGTTTACTACAATTACACCTGAGTCACCTGGTGTATAAACAAGAATCCCTATTCACACTGCGCTGTGTGATCTAGAGAGAGCAAGATACACACACAATCATGTATTTTGTGTTCATCTGGACTGCTTAGTTTGTATAAGGAGAAACTCTACTGGTGACACTGATGTCACTTACACAGCACACAGCTGGATGCTAAAAATGCTAAACCAAAACTGATCTGTGTTTCTAAACTGTATAAGAAATATACAAGAAATAAATAAAGAGTTAATGAATGCTTTAGGTCTGAAATATTCAATAATTTTAAATACAGCAGGTAAAATTAGTTTTGAACACGTCACCAGTTTTCTAAGTAGATGTATTTCTAAATGTGCTATCGAGATGAACTTCTCACCAGATGTCGGTAACATCCCATCCAATCCACACATGCAAAGAAATCAAACCTATATTTAATATTTTCAATACTTTTGAAAAGTATTGAAAATATACTTTTCAAAAGTTAAAGTGAACAAAGGTAAGCAAAATCAGAGGACACTAGTTAAGCTCTGTAAATGTATTTTAGTTACTTAATTACAGTTGGTGGTTACTGGATATTGGGGGCACTTAAGACTTTTTGTGGGTTGCCAAAATACCCAGAAACGCTCCAGCGACTTTATATACATCACATGTTTAACATGAGGTGAAACAGAACAAAAAAGGTTTGGTAACCACTGGTTTAATCTTTAACATGTTGTATTTTATCAGTTCACTTTTTTTCACCACATCATTCTAAACCTAAATATGAACAAGTAAATAAAAGTAGTTTACTTACAGTGGTGAGTTGAAGCCTGGCTGGGTGATACTAAGGGTGTACCAGGACAGCACTGGCATCAAAGTCTCTGAACTATTCTGGCAATTATTATTATTAAATTTGCTTTTTTTCCCCCTCACACATTTATTTATATGAAAGTTTACAGCCATTAAAAAGCATGGTTAAGATTGGTCCTTTTCAGTGCAAAGGCAAGTCTACAGTGCATTCCTGACTTTAAATTTATATAGAAAAAACAAAAGCATTTCCAAAAGTTTAATGCAAAACAATAACTTAAGAAAATTAACTTTTATTCTAAATTGTAGTAGCAATGGAGTTGGCCCTGTTTTCAATCATAATCAAACTGATTAAACTCTGATGTTTATGTGAACAACGAGCCAATAAAACCATCAGCCAGTAAAATAGAGGATTTGGTGCCATCTAGTGATCTGACACTGAATCAACAGAAACTTGAACAGCACAAAATCTGGAATAATGGGATATGATCTAATTATGGCAGTTACTAAAAAAAGGGAAATATGTGTGTATATGATGCTTGTTTTTAAAATCAACAGCTGATTTCCATCTCCTCTCCTTTTTTGAGTTTTTGAACAAGTGAGACAAAAAGACAGAGGTGTCACTTTCGCTGCTCGGCTGTCTTGTTGAGTCGTCGCTGTAGCAGGTAGACAAACACAGCAATATTCACGAAAAACTGGATTAAACCTATAGAGGAAATGCCGTAGTTCACATACAGGAAGCCCCCTATAGTAGGTCCAACTGTGCGAAGCAGAGATTGAACAGATGCGCACAGTCCCAGCATTGTGCCTGCAAATGAGAACAAGATTAAAACTGGCAATAATTCTTTACACTATTTCACAATAGGTTCACCTGTAGTTTTCTAAACCATTTTATTTGATATTATTACATTTTATCTTGGAATGCTGGAGTGTCTTTGCTTCTTTAAGTTTAAAGCAGCTTTATTCAAATGCAGTCACACATCAAGTGATCTAAAATAAAGCTTTTTAAAAGTAGAGCCTGTCAAACACCATCTGGTTGTAATAAAGTAAAGCGGGATGGTCTCACCTGTGTCAGAGGACGGTACACTCTTGGTGAGCATGCTGTCTGTGATGGCATTAAACACACTGAGAGAAAACATCATCGGGAGGATGTTAAAGCAGAACTGCCACACATTCTGTATATATGCCTGTACAGAGAAATATCAGAAATAAACAGTTTTCAGCAAGGGGTTCAATGGCACATTATATTCATTGCTAGGTAATTATGTTTAATAGGGGTTGCTGTCACAACGAGTCCAAAGAAATGCCTGCAGCAGAACTCTAATGGGCTGTGCTATTGATTAAGTTTTTGCTCTGGATTTCTATGAGGATTTTTTTTTTACCCATATTGTTCATATTGTTTCCTGCCCTCCTTTTAACTGTTTCTTTTTATTCTGTCTTATACTATTGCTCTGACCAACTTTGAAGGACTTTGGTCAACTTTGGTGTATTATTATGTGCTATAGAAATAAATTTTGATTTGATTTGATGACACTCCCCAATTCAGCTGTGAATCCAAATATCTGTCTTAAGGGGCTTTGGCAGTGTGGCAAAGGGGTTAACTGATAGTGAGGCCTGTTAGGGGCAGCACCATGTACGAAACATGTAAATGTGGCTGTTAGCATATTGATGTATCAATTCAAAGCTCTGCTATGAATTGATACAGTTTTACGCCCCAGTCACAACTGGTGGTTACCAACCACTTGGCAACCACCAGTTGTTGGGGAAAATTGAGTATTTCTCAACTAGTTGTGAGTGGTTCACAGTCCATTGGAAGTCCCAGCCATGCAGGCCTAAAGCAGTCACCGAGCACTTGATATCCTCTGGTCACCGAACGCTCTCCATTTAATGTTTGCGACGGACATTTTCACCTTTCACTTTTTCAAGTTAATTAGTTGACATTCCTTCCATGCAAACTATGAGTGGCCGCAGTACTCTAGCAGCAACCAAACCAATCACAAAGAGGTTTCGGCTGCAGCAACCTGTTTGTGACGGATTTCACCCGGTGCCAACCAGCAATCTCAAGCTGTTGAACAAGCTCTTGGGCTCTTATCTGAGCTGCTAAACACCAAGAAACATGAACACATTCATGATAATAAAACAAACAAAAAATACCCTAACAAATTCACACTTGTATACAGGTGAACAAGTATTCAAATAAGTACAAGCACAATATCACAGAAGTTCAATACCAAGCAATAGTAAAAGTTGTAGTAAGATTTACTATAAAAAAAAACAAAAAACCTCATGGTAAAAAAAAAGGGGGGTTAAAACTTTTCATTTTATTTGCATCAAACAATGGAAACATTTTTTTTTTCAACAAGCTAAGACAAGAGTTTTGCTTCTTAAAAAGAAAAGCTATGAAGTACTTGAGTGAATACTTTCTCTCTAAGGGGTGTGTGCTTATGTTTTGTGCATACCTGAGCCAGTCCCACAAAAGAGGACACTCCAATGGATAGAAGCAGCAATGAATTGTCAGAGTATCTTGCCGTAAGCCGACCGATCACTCCTCCTTGAATAACCTGAACAAACATCTGGGTTTTACTCATTTCATCTTGCAGTCTGGTATAAGCTTAAGCTCAACCCCCCAACATATCACATACAGTCCATTTGAAAAGTTTTCAGATCCTTTAGAGTTTTCTACAAAAAAAATAAAAAGTGAATCTTTTAGTCAGTGACCACTGGCTTCTTGGTAATCTCTCTGACAAAGACCAGACTACTTAGCTTAGCTATATTGGAATATCTTGGACGACTGTTGGTGGTTCCAAAAGTTCCCCATCTGACAATAAGAGGCTATCACAGGTTGGGTTTTTTTAGTCTGACAACTGCAAGACCTTAAACAGATCTGTAAGTAACTTTCCTAATTCATGAATTCAACTAATCACAGGTCTAATGAAGTTATTGAAGCATATTGGGGACTGTTGTTTCATGTAGGAACCATCAGAGCTCAACCCCAAGTGCGAGCAAGGATACGTCTGCAAACACTGTGTTTTATTCTTTCAGTTGTTAAAGAAAAAAGAAAAACAAACAAAATACTCCAAAAACCTGTTCCTTAATTTGTCATTTAGTCTAAATTCAACAAGTGAATCATAAGTGAATTTTGGTCTGTAATATAACAAAACGTAGAAAACTTGAAAAGGCTAAAATGCACCAATTCATTTTGGATTTCAGTCTTACCATTTGGACGATGCCAAAATAGGCCATCAGGTAGCCATTCTGCTCAGGTTGCAGCTTAAAGAACTCCAGTGCAATGATAGAAAACATCACTTGAAAAATGCCTTCGAGCACAAAACAATTTTGTTAGATTTACATATGATTTATGATGACACCATCAAAGTTGGCTTTGTGTCTCTTTGTGGCAATTTAATTTTCTGTTTGCAAAATGTTTTCAGGGCTGCTTAAATGTCCTGTATTTATATAGCGCTTTTACTAGTCCCTAAGGACCCCAAAGCGCTTTACATATCCAGTCATCCACCCATTCACGCACACATTCACACACTGGTGATGGCAAGCTACATTGTAGCCACAGCCGCCCTGGGGCGCACTGACAGAGGCGAGGCTGCCGGACACTGGCGCCACCGGGCCCTCTGACCACCACCAGTAGGCAACGGGTGAAGTGTCTTGCCCAAGGACACAACGACCAAGACTGTCCGAGCCGGGGCTCGAACCGGCAACCTTCCGATTACAAGGCGAACTCCCAACTCTTGAGCCACGATCGCTTAACTTCAGTGCTGGCCTAATATGCTGATTTACAATGTTACAGTTGTATTCAAAGGAGCTTGCAAAGAAAAGCGTCTGGACTTCTTTAAGTTGCTTGAAGACGTTTCACCTTTCATCCGAGAAGCTACACCTTGGCTCAAGATACGCCTTGGCTCAGGCGATTAGAGGATCATCAGGGGGTCCTTTTGTCCCTCTGTGGGGGGATACTCCCACTAGGTTTAAATCTGGGACTCCCCACCATTTGACGCTTCTCGGATGAGAGGTGAAACGTCTTCAAGCAACTTAAAGAAGTCCAGACGCTTTTCTTTGCAAGCTCCTTAGATTACGATGACCTGGATGACTGAGAACCTTCACAGACATGTTACAGTTGTATTTATCTTGAAGTTATTCTTGGTGCCATTTGTCTAAAGCCTGCTCCTGTAAGGCCAACTTCCCTTTACACAAACTTGCTTCCAATTGGCTGCTCCTTGCAATTCCAGAAGGTCCAGTTGGGGCTTCTGTGTACTCTGCCTTGTTCTCAAATTATCGTGTTCACAAGGTTTTCACAAAACTTCAGGATTCAAACTCATCAGAACCTTTTAGTAGAAACACCTATGGTATCAATTTGAAACTCCTATGTTGCCTTTTTCTCGAGTTATCGCATTCACAAATCTGGGGGTCCATGCTGCCCACCTGCCTGCCCAGCAGGGTGATGACGAACCCCCATCGAGCCTTTTATAGCTGAGCCATCACAAGAGTATGAAGCCTGAACATTTGGCTCACAGATGTTTGACCAGAATTATTTAAAATTTTGTCCTGGTTTAACATGAGCATCCACAAATTTAGCTACATATTCATACCCATTTTAATACACATAAATGTAAATGAGCCCAATCAGAACATATCACCATAGGTAACCTCCAAAAACAAAATGGCAAAAAAGAAAAACATTTAAAGAGTGTGTAACTTAAACACAGTGATATTAGGAAGAGACACAACATTTGTATATTGCAAAGGCTTAAACCAAAACATCTTCACACTTCAAGTCTCACCTGATGGCAAACCTGCAACTATCTTGATAATGAAAGTCTGCATCACTGTTGGAAACTTCATCAGCCTCGTAATCTCACTCAGATTGAATACTGACTTTCTTCTGTTGTCATCTGAAGTAAAATCAAAGTGCAAGAGGTACAATTACCATCTCATTATGTGTTTCTACCAATAAGTCAAGGTAGGATAACATGTATGTAGAGAAGTTCCAGGGAAATTTCAGTGCTGCTCTCGAATGAAAGGTGAAATGTCTTCTAGCAACTTAAAGAAGTCCAGACAGTTTTCTTTGCAAACTCCTTTGACTACGATGACCTGGATGACTGAGAACCTTTACAGACATTCCATACCATGGCTTTGGATTATTTGCAACCAAAAGGTGACTCTCTCCAAACATCTCTAAAAATATAGATGTATTACCTTTTTTCTTTTTAAAATACACCTATATGGAAAAGAATGGCCCACTGCAATTTTAAGCACATTTGAGTATGTAATTATGGAAGATGATACAGTAACACAACATCAGAGACTCAGTGGTATTCTGATAATAATCTACCTGGATTATTACATGGAATTTTAAAGACTGGCATCAACGGTTTGCTATGAGATGATCCAAAATGTGAAAGAAAGAAAAAAAAAGTAAGAGCAGAGTCATGGTTTTTTAAAGAAAAAAATAACAAAAACTATGTTTGAGTGCAGCTGAGAGTGACAAAATCCAGTTGAGTAATTTTTATGTGTGCAATGAAGACAGCTAGATTCAAATTACCAGCTCATCCCTGTTGTTGTGATCATGAAGCCAAGGCCACTTTGTACCTAGACAGCTGAGACCATTAGGTTGAAAAGAAGTAGGTATGTCTTACCTGTAGTGTTGCCTCTGGTTGTTTCAGCTTTTGTATTTTTGGGGATGAACTTTAAAACCAACAGCAAGCTGAAGGCACTCCCTGCAGTACCAAAACATGCAGTAAACTTCTCCCTGAGAAATACAAAGTAAAGGTGCTGTATAGGGGACACTTTTGGTAAACACACACAATGACTGATTTCCATGTTTCATAAAAGCGCAATATTCCAACCTAAGCCAAAATGTCTTCCTAAACCAGAGATGTTTTTTATTTCCTTTGGCTCTGTCAAAGAGTCAATGGTTGCTCAGGTTGGTTTCACACCATTGCTGCTGTTAATGATACACACTGTGACACTAACCCATAGAGTTTGCTCAGCTGTCCGCCTAATGTGGAGCCAACTATCATACCGATGCCAAAACACAGACCAAGCTTGGATAAGGCGTCGGCCCGTTTCTCAGGTTTTGTAAGGTCTGTAACAACCATTTGTGATGCTGCAGACACAGGTGGGACAAAGAAGAAAATCAAGTGAAACTTGATTCAGGATAAATAAAATTAACATTTAGAATAAATCTGAATAAATGTAAAAATAGTTCAGCCACATTGTTAGCAAAGGATAAAAAAACGGTAGATTTGATGCTCACCAGGGAGGACATGCATAAAGACTGTGGGGATTTTATGGATGAACAACATGGCTGGAGTGTCTGCTGTGGCCAGCAGCAGAAAGAAGACAACAGTTGAAGCACATGCCAGGGACAAAGCTGTCCGTGCCCCAAATAGATCTGCAAACCTGCCAAAAAAAAAAAACAGACCCTACAGTCACATTTTTCTACACTGTGTTCCGACTGTTGGCAAACAGTAAAGAGCAATGTCCAAGCAAAAAATAGCGAACAGAAACTCACCTTCCAAACATTGGGCCCCCGAGCAGCTGAATAACTCCAACTGTAGTTTGCAAATAACCAAACCACAACGTGTCGAAGCCGAGCTTCTTTGCCAAATACTATAGAGAGCAACATAAGTAAGTGACCGTTATTTTTTTGTGACAAGTGGTCACAAAACCGAGTAAAATAAATAAGGAAATTAAACACCATAAAAACAATACAAAAACAATTTAAGATCAAAACGAAAATATAAAATCATTAAAAGTATCAAAGAAAAGCCTGATTAAACTAAAAAAAGATTCTTAACTGGTTTTAGAAAGAGTCCACAGAGTCAGCTAAAGTTAATTGTTGCGAGAGACTGCTCTAAATCTCTGCCCTTTTGTATGTGGAATGACCATTAGATTCTGAGCCTGTCATCAAAGCCTACAAGCAGAGGTGTGCTTGGTAGAAGATAAGGCAAACAGTCCGGAGCCTGGCCATTAAGTGCTCTGTATGTGAAAACAAATTGTAGAATCTACTGAGAGCCAGTTTAAAGAATATAAAATGGTAGTGATTTGAGCTCGGCTGCTGAATGTGTTAATAGTCTTATTACAGTTCCCTTGCTTTATTGCTTTCGAAAGACATTAATGAGAATTTACCCAAGCCAGAAAACAAGGCATTACAGTAATCTAAGTGCAATGATGCAAATGCATCACTAATTTTCTCCAGATCCACCAAAGAGACCATATGTTGCAATTCAGAAATGTTACATAAATTAGAAAAAAAACAGGAAAAAGACTCTCCTGGTAAGATAGACTTTACTGCCAAAACCCAGAGAAGAATCAAATATTACACCAAGACTTTAAACACTGGATTTAACTGCTGAACAAAATGAACTAAGACCAGTTTAAGACGAGGTCATTGTTAGAGAACCAATCACTAAACAGTGGACTATCCAGCTGTTGGACCTTAAAAGACATGTACAACTGAATGTCATTAGCATAGAAGTGATAATGAGTGTCAGAAAATAACTTGTGTCTTGACAGACACAATAAAAGTACATCCTTGTTTATGCCAGTCAAGAGTTCGCATTCAAGGCCTTCCTTTTTTTTTTTTTTATTGATTCATAAACTTTAGAAGAACTGTGAACTAATACCCAGCCAACATACCAAGGCCAACATTGGTTAGATGTGGATGAACTGTGGGGGTGTGTGGGCAGGGCAAACCCACAGTCATCCCACCCAAGACCCAAGTGGGTGTGCTCACACAGGAACCACAGCAGTTTTGCCCTTTAGGGCCGCTGTATGGGTTTTCTAAGGGTAAGTTCACTTTCTGTATTGATGTTGTGGGGCAAATTTGCTACTGCTAGAAATGTGCTTAAGTCGGACAGCAGGGCCAACCCCTAAGATCAGCGGGACCTTCATTTCTTTTCTATAGAACCATGAGCCAAAACACATCGCACTTCTGCAATGATAGTTTGGAAAAAAAATAATTTAAAAAGCAGAGAACTCCAAAAGCACCCAACCTAAACCCTACTGAAGCTGTTTTCACACATTAACTTAAGTTTTTTGAAAAATTTTGTCAGAAGCGTTTGTAGCACACAACATCACTACTGTACATATATCAGTTTGGGCGAGAGGACTGGGAGTGTGCAGGACACAAGACGAACACTTGTTTTCTCATTAGGGTAAATTGGCACAATATGATAGGGAGTATCTAATTTAATCTTGGCATTGTCACATGCACCTTTATCAGATTAAGAGAAAGGTTCAGAACTGCATTTGAGCAAATTGCTTCAGATAGTTTGGGATAAGCATGTCCTTGGAGTGAGGGTAAAGTACCCAAGACATGCTCAGCATATGTAGGAATTATTTCAAGACGGCTCAAGGTAACCTCATGAACACCCACAGCCATTATCACAGAAGTGGCTCCTTTGTCTAAACATTGTGCAAATATTTTTCACTTTGAAACACATTGGCTGGTTTGCTTGCCTAGTTCTGTGTAGGTTATCTCACAATTTAAATGGACTGTTTTGCTGTACAATGCAGAAACACTGTCACTGTGGCACTCACCTGGCCCGAGGTAGAGCTGCTATCAGTTCAAACTCTAACTTCTTTTTATAGGATATCTTTAGCAGCAGAGTCATGTCATGTAAAATGGAAAGTGGTGACAGAAAAAGAGCTAAATGCCAGGTGAATCAATTTGATTTAAATGGGTTGCATTGTGTTGCAGGTGAACATTGGCCTTATTTGAGGAAGGTGGTGCTGCTGGTGTTAGAGTTGGTGGAGGTATTTGGTGGCAGCAATGAGTGTCCTGCTATGCCTTTTTGTTTCATCATATCTCAGCTTTGAGTTCAAAGTTGGGAAGATTTTACGTCACAGAATGAGAAGTTTTAGAGTCACTTATGTTTACTGCACTATGACTAGACTATGACTAAATGATGTGTTAGCTTATATTTTTAGAATATTATGAAATTTAAAATTCTGCCAGTTTCCTGCTGCTTCTTTTCCAAAATCCTTAATTTACATTTTAAAACATGATTATTTCCATTATGCCACATACATGTAGTTCTATTTAATCTATCACATTTAAAAGCTTATAGTTAAAAGGCGTTTTGATGCTTCCAATCATGTAATTTTGACTCCTGTTTCATGTGTGATAAGTGTGCCAAAAACTACAAATTTGTGCCCCTGGAAAGACAATAAAACATTAACTCATGTACAAGTGGCCTTTCTATGTGGAGCTTGCATGTTCTCCCTGTGTTTTCTTTCTAGCTTCCTTCAACAGTCCAAAGAAATGCATGGGGTTCGGTTAACTGGTGATTCTAAATTTGCCACAGCTGTGAATGTGAGTGACCCAAATTAGAATAACTGGAAGAAAATACATGGGTAGTATTCGATAATGCATTTCTATACTGCAGATTTGTTTTGTGTATCCAAATGTGTTGACTAACTTTATGTTTTCGATCACTGCAGTGGAACTAAATTTTCAATATCTGTTCTTAAGTATGAAATTTAGTAAAGATCCTAAGATTTAGCAATACAATACAACACTTTGCTACATGTACATACTGGCATAGTTCTCATCCATACAAAGTATAAATACTGCCTATGTTCCTGAACAGCCACATCTGCTGCTTTAACAAAGTGAATTTCACAAGTCTGGGACTAATAAATGTCATCTTATCCTATCTTATCTTGTCACAGTGATTAAGCACATTTCAAAGCAGGATGCTTCACTGTGTGTCACTGATATTCAGTGATATGAATACCCCTTCTCCAGTGTTTACTATAAGTGTATGTAATAGCTACTGTTAGTGTTTCATATAAGACCAGTGGTCATTCTTGCACTCTTAATTAAAACGAGATTTTCAGCCATAGCATTATCAACGTCAGTAAATCCAGCCTCAATCATAACTGTGCGCACTAAAGGGAATATAGGGACATTTCAGCTTCTTCTTCTTCTCGTGTCATATACTCACAGGGGTTACTGAGAACTGTAAAAACATCCATGTGATATCCAAAGCGGCGATGAGATACACAGCGTAAATTGTTGTCATCCTCTGTGAATCGTCTGCGACATTTGAGGAAACAGAAGCTTTGTCCGTTTCCTCGTTTCTTTCACCTCTTCGACTCATTTTTGTTCCTTGCTGACAACAGCTGTAAAAAAACCTTAATGTGTACTCTCTTCAACAAAAGTAAACTGGCAGACAAAAACGTCATTTGATCTAGCGACCTCTTGCACAAATTGTTAGCCAACCGGTACTCTGGTTGTACTTTGGAACATAAAGGCGTTACCAAGTTTGACGTTAGTCGGTTATGAAGATAGTTTCCGGTCTTTACACTGTTTGGTCATCGGTACAGGCGGACCTATCGCTGTCTTTATCTACGTATCAGCCAGAGCAGCTGCAAAAAAACCCAGCAATGGGCACGTAAACTTCTATGAAAGAAAATCCTCAGGAAGTGATGCTTTCAGGAACTCCTTCTAGGCTCGTACATTAAAGCATTTTCGAGATCTGTCATTTTCCCTGTCTCGTTTCGAGCATAACATTGATGTTGTTTTTTTAATATGATACAAAACAACATATCACATGTCAACACTGTAAGATCTTTTTTATTGAAAAATATATATTTGGGTTAATTTGTTTCTCGCTTTTTATAGCATTAGAGTTATTCAACAGTTAAGAGCCTCGTTTTTGTGTTTTATCATTTTATACTGTGCCAGTGTTTCAGTGAGAAACAGGTCTGTTGGAATATCTGCAGAATGGTTTTTGACATTCTCTTGTTAAAATTTGTGGAAATTGAGCTCCCAGTGCCATTCAAATGTGTTGTTTTATACATCACTGAGTTTGAAGTGGGAGGTGTGGTGTATTCATAATTGTCTCTGGTACATTTGTTGTATGGGCAGTATGTGTTCGTTGTTTGATTGTGTAATTACGCGTTACGCACTGGCAATGCATGCCGGGAGATGGTACGGCGTTGTACTCCTTGTGTCTTTATCTTTGGCACTTTGTTCTCTAGGTGATTGTACGCTAATAACCTATGATAGAAACACGCTCCTGAATCTTCGTTTCTCCTGTTCTCAACGACCGAACTGTTTTGGGACCGCGGGTGATGCCATTCCCCTGATGCCCGTCTCTCCCACTCATCTGACCGACTTACCTCTTCCCATGCCCCGCAGGATACGTCCCAGGAGACGGGGTAGAAGGAGTGGTGTCCGTGTCCGCTTCAAGGCTTATATCAGAGCCATGGCTACGGATTACCCCTCTACTAGCTGTGAATTTTCTCATTTCATCCACCATCTTGGTAGCAGCTTTGCGGCTAAACTGCTCAACCACCGTTGGATATGTCCCGTTGGCCCTCAGTCCTATCCTGCCTGCCCAGTGGCCTTCCACTCTGCTCGTTCTTGGATATCACTGCCTGGCCGTGGTGTTCAACAAAACAACCTCAGTACCCTCAAACGAGCTACTACTAAGGACAGGACTCCTCGGACTCGTATGGCCTTATTTAATGTTAGGTCTCTTTCTAATAAGGCCTTCCTCTTAAATGATTTTTTTCTCTCCTCGGGTCTGGATGTTTTATTTTTGACTGAGACATGGACCTCTCCGGGTGAGTTCATCCCCTT